TTTCACCCCCCCCCCTTTTTTTGGCAAATCAAAAATTTTGATTCTGGGACTGGAGCCTTCTTCATGTAGCTGCCTTGAATGCTGGCCCTGAAGCACAAACCCTCTCTCCCTCCGGAGCAGGCGAAAGCCCTCCCCACCACTGTTTGAGTTCCCTCCTCCTGGATTTCGTATGTTTCCTCCCTGGGAGACCTTGGCCTCACGTTCTCATTCACTTTCACCGCACCAGTCAGCACCCTCGGTTTTGAATTTAGGGGAAACGACTCTTTCTGGAAGCAACGGCGCATCGTTTCCCACCCTCCACTCTCCCCCCCCCCATCCCTCCCATCCTACTGGAAGAAAGTCAAGATTCTGATCAACTCTAGATCTGTCTGTTACGTCTGAGGACGACTCATTTTCAGCAGCCTCATTTCAACTTTATTCTGCGGCTTCCTGGCATTGTGGAAAGGCACTTCTCTTGGCACGCAGAGGTGTGTGGCTTTTTCCAGTCGTTTGATTTTTCTTTTAAGGACACAAAAGCATCTGGAAGACACAGGGGCTGTGCACTGCGTAACCCTTTCCCCAGAACTGGAGGCGGGGGGGGGGGGGGGACTGGACCTGGCAGAAATATTCAGCATTCCTGTTCTTTGAGGCATCCTTTTGAAGGGGCTGGGGGAGGTCTATTTTGTGCCTTACGGAGACCCCCTTTAGCTGCCATGGGGCTTTAAGGCAGAACAGATTTCCCACTGGCGAGTGTGGGAGTGGTGGCGAATCTCTGCAGGAAGGAAGGAAGGAGCGTGACAGAAACCGGGAGGAGGAGCTGACCCAGCACGTGAATGGCTGCCAAGGATTATGACCACTTGTTCAAACTACTCATCATTGGGGACTCTGGTAAGGACTCCTCTCACGCCCAGCGCCCTCTCCTCCTTCCTCTGCTTCCTTGTTCCCCCCCTCACCACCACCACCACATCTTTCTGTCTCTGCTCATTTTCTCATTCTTCACCCTCCAGTTTTACTCATGTCCTTTATTAAAACCAACAATATCCATTTCTCCCCCCCCCCTCCCATGGTGACTTTCTGTGTTCCATCTCCTTCTGCAATTCTGCTCGCTTCCTACCTTCCCGGTATGGTTATATTTGGTTTTCTCTGGACCATCTTTAAACCTCATTCTTCTTCATTCTGTAAAGTCTTCTTCCGTTTTTTTTTTATTTTGTTCTAACACCCCCCCCCCCGCAACCAGCGGCCTACTTCTTGTTTCTCTCCTCTGTGCCAGCTGACATTCTCAGGCAAGTATAATGAGCTAATCCAAGGTAGCTGCTGATGTTCAGAGTAATGGATAAAGTCGACATGGTTGTGTCGTTCTGTCTCATTCTTTCAAGTTTCTACACCACACAATCCCTGGAGGAGATGCTTAACCAAAAGCTAAATTTTGGGTTTGTGCTGGCTTGAGAAAATGCAGGTCGTCTTGTTCCCCACGTCTCGGTTGGACTAGAGCAGTGGTGGCGAACCTATGGCACGGGGGCCAGAGGTGGCACTCAGAGCCCTCTCTGTGGGCACGCGTGCCATCGCCCCAGCCAGGCCCAGACCATCATTAAAGTGTCGAATTCTCTGCCAAATAATTTTAAGTAAATGAAAGCATTTGGGATTGCTTTCCTTTACTTTGTTTGGATCATCTTAAGTTAATGTATGAGTTGTTTTTTCCTAAAGTAAAACCTCAGTATTCAGGTTAAATTGCCGTGTTGGCACTTTGTGATAAATAAGTGGGTTTTGGGTCGCAGTTTGGGCACTCGGTCCCTAAAAGGTTCGCCATCACTGGACTATAGAGAGTAGGATTCCCAGCATTCTTTGGGTCTGATTGTGCCAACTTGTGTGCGGCCTGCCACCTGCCAGCATTCACAGGTAGCTTTTTGGGGTAGGGAAACGGGCCTTGTCAGTTCACTAAGCGGATCCCATTTTACTCTGAGGTGGGATGAATTAAACTAAAGCCAACCAATGTTCATGCAGTTGACTTTTTAATTGCTTCGTAATGTCACAGCCCAGCCACTCAATACTTTGGTAAGTTTTAGAAAGCTTTTTCTCACAGTCTGGCAAGTTCTTGCCGGGAACCAGGTTTCTGGGTTACCAGGGAAACGGCAGCTTCCTTCAGAGGGCTCAAAGGCTTCCAGTTTTCATTGGCCACAATTTCCCCATCGTGCTTAACAAAAAAGAAAACTATAAAAAACAATTTAAAATGTTCAGAAAAAAAGAAAACTGATGTGAAAATTTAGAGTTTCACGACCAAGGTTGTTGGCTGATTCTCATAGTATCAGATCCAGCACCACGAGGCAACGGTGTGGATGTGGGATTCTTGAACACGGTGGGAAGGAAACTACTGTCCTGTCCTGCACTTTTATCCTACTTTTCAGATTAAAAAAATGGCCTCCCAAGGCAGCTCACAGCTTTTCAACTTCCCTGGGCTGGCAGGGGAATGTCTGAATGAAAACCAGGCAGGCCTTGCCCTGAGCCTTCAGAGGCAAGAGAAGGGCCGTGCGGAGGTAGGAGATCAGTTTGGGGAGGCCAGAAGCAAGTGAGCCGTTAAGAGGCCACAGAAGCCAAGCTGTTTTTCCCTTGCCGGCATGGAAGTAGCAGTGCCATCCCCCAGTGTCCCTTGGTCTTTCGGTGGGTGAGAGGAGCCCCCCCCCGCCCTGGAGGAAGCTGGAGCAGAGTTCTCTCTGGCCCGAAGAAGGGAAGCAACTTCTGTGCAGTCGCTCCTCTGGCTGTTAGCTGGGGACAGGCTGATCTTGCCCTTGCTGTGGAAGGGAGCTGTGCAGGGCTGATTCTTTGGCCAAGCATCCGCTTGGGACAGCACAATGACTGATGCACTGCGGGGAAACAGCTTCCCGGCCATCGGCAGTGCTGGAGGTGATGAGCGTCGCCTCCTGGATCCATCCTGGCCAGGTCCAAGCCGAGCCCCTTGGCTTGGCCCAGTGAGTGTGCTTTGCTTGGGGGGGGGGTGTCCGGCTAGTCTTAAACCAGTCCTGGAGGGGCGTCAGCCCGGCTGGGATCCCTGGCTGGTTGGCTCCTGAGTGATCAGCCCCTTCTGAGGTCCCTGCCTCTCGCTTTCCTAGTGCTGATCAAGACACCTCTAGCTCAGCACGGCAGCTTTGAACTTTTTTGGGGGGGGGTGTCGGTCAGGAGGTTGTGGCAGGAGGTAGGCCTCATGGTTAGGGGTGCCAACTCTGCAGTGGGAAGTTCTTGGAGATGTAGAGGGTGGAGCCTAAGGAGGGTGGGATTTGGGAAGGACCTCAGCAGAGTAGGATGCCACAGAGTCCACCCTCCGAAGCTGCTCTTTTCTCCAGGGGGAACTGGTCCGTTGCCTAGAGATCAGCTGTCATTCTAGGAGACCTCCAGGCTGGCCCGAGGCTACAGCGGGGCTAATGGGGGCTCTGCCCCCTTCCTGAGAGGGCCGCCCCCCACTTCTTCTCAAAAGCATTTAAAGGATCCCTTTCAGTGCTTTTGAGAAGAAGCGGGGGTGGGGGTGCGCGCCCCTCTCCTCCCCCCCTGCAAGATTTAAAGGGCCCTAGCAGGAGGGGATGGAGAGGGGGCACACGCCATCCCCCTTCATCGTGGCAAATAATGGCAGCCCCACCAGAAAAAAGATTTGCCCCACAATCCACAAAATCCTGGCTACGGGCCTGTCTCCAGGCCCCCGTCTACTTGGGAGCCCTGCTTGTTGGGCCCCCACACGTTGTAGCTGCTTTTCTGTGAGTCATGCAAACAGATTTGGATGGATGGAGTGGCAACCCAGGGGGCCCCATCTAGTGCCAGGAGACTCAGATCTTTCCAGGGTCCTGTGGTATCCCCAGATGCCTGAAGGGGCCTGGCGGTCTTAGAACTGAGTCAGGGAAAACGTTGGATTTTCAGGTGCACAGCTAAGAAAGATGCAGTCTCGATATGCTCTATAGACCAAGCCTGGTGAGGACCATAAATTGCAGAGTTGTAGAAGAGGGACACGCCTGTGCCCTGCCTCTACTGCAAAGACTATTTTTAAGGAGGAAAGGGCTTGACAAGCTGAAGGGGGGGAGAGATTAGATTTATACCCCACCGTTCACTTGGAGTCTCAGAGCGGTTTACAATCTCCTTTCCCTTCCCCTCCCCACAACAGACACCCTGTGCGGTAGGTGGGGCTGGGAGAGCTCTTCAAGAACTGCTCTTGAGAGAACAGCTCTGAGAGAACTGTGACTGACCCAAGGTCACCCAGCTGGCTGCATGTGGAAGAGTGGGGAATAAAACCTGGTTCTCCCAGATTACAGCCTGTGCTCCTGACCACTACACCAACAGGGGATGTTCCACCCATTATGGAACCCTGTGACGCTGCATAAGGCCTCTTCAGTGGATGGTGCAGGATGTTGCCTGCTTTTGCATCCAAGCCACACACCCCCGTTTGGGACAAGATGGCTTCATTGCCATAGTGTGAGCTTGTGATCCTGAATAGATGTATTCACTGCCCCCCCTCCTCCATAGACATGCCCCAAAATACTGTTTGCAAACCTGTTGTGTTTTGCAAACCTTGGGGAGCAAAGGTGGGGCTTGTGGATTGTTTGCATTCTGCAAAAGCCACCTTGCTTCCTCCTGAGGATCATGTTCGGTGAGGTAATCGCACTTCCCCGCAGTTTTTATTCCAGGTTTACAATGAGGCGTGTGGTACCCACCCATGGGGCCACAATAGCTGTCGGTGGGTGTGGCTGCTCTTGAGCAAATTTCCTGGGATCGGGTGTGTTTGCCTTGGGTGGGGAGCCTTCCGCGTCTGCGGAGAGGATTGCCGTGGCAGATGGAAGGGGACGAGGGCTGGGTCTGTGCCTCTGGATATTGTTTGCTCTCTAATCTGCTGCCTTTTCCTTTTTTCTTTCCCCTCTGCTCAGGGGTTGGGAAAAGTAGCCTCCTGCTCCGCTTTGCAGACAATACCTTTTCTGGTAAGTACCCACTCTCCTGTCGTCTAGCTCACTCGAAAAATTTTATTTTATTTTCTCAAACCAGAAGGAATCCCGACTCCCATACCGTTAACAAGCACTTTCCAACATCATTGCTGTGCGAGCCACTTAAAGCCAGCCGTGTGTAGCCTGTTTTGCTAAACCAATGATAGGCTCACAAGGGCTAATTGGACAGCATTGCTCCATTCACTTTGGTTACTCAATGAGCAAAGACCCCATTTGTGCTAGTCGTTTTCATTTAATGCTTTCACACCTTGTTTGACGGCTGCATCCCTGACAAAGCGAAGGCCGAGCCCTTGACAGTTGCAGATGGCGGTCTCTCTAAAGCATTGCAGCCTGTGCTGTTTTTTTTTTTTTTTAAAGGAAGTCCTGCCCCCAACGGCTTTGTTGACTGGTCTGGGTAGCTTGAGTCATCCCTGTTGATTTTGATTCAGTCATCTGGCAGTCAGATGCTGGACAAAAGAGCTGCATATAGCCACAGCTGTTCTGTGTATCTGTGGCTGTTGTAGTGGTGACAGAAGGGGACGCTACAGATGGGAAACAGAGGCGGAGAATGAGATTTGCCCAAGGCTGCCCAGTGATTCGGGGCTGAGCCCAGGCTTAGACCCTCGGCCATCCAGATCACAGCAGTCTACCCACATCAGCTTCTCCAGCTGGTTGAAAGACCTTTGATAAGTCAATTGCCACACTTAGGAGTGCTACAGATGTTGTCCTATCTTTCTCTGTTCTGTCTTAAGAACGTAAGAACACAAGAGTAGCCAATGTTGGATCAGGCCAATGGCCCATCTAGTCCAACACTTTGTCACATAGTGGCCAAAAATACCAAGGTGCCATCAGGAGGTCCAGCAGTGGGGCCAGGACACGAGGAGCCCTCCCACTGTTGCCCTCCCGCAAGCACCAAGAATACAGAGCACCACTTGCCCCAGACCAAGAGTTCCTATCTATGTGGCTAATAGCCACTGATGGACCTCTGCTCCATATGCTTATCTAATTCCCTCTTGAAGCCGCCCATGCTTGTAGCTGCCACCACCTCCTGTGGCAGTGAATTCCATGTGTTAATCACTCTTTGGGTGAAGAAGTACTTTCTTTTATCTGTTCTAACCCGACCGCTCAGCAATTTCATCGAGTGCCCACGAGTTCTTGTATTGTATTCTTCCTCTTAACTGTTCTTTTGTAGCTAGTGTTTGCATTTACCATTTCACTTTGTTACTACTGTCTCTCCCCCATTGGCAAGCCCTTATCCTGCACTTCACTCCTTCCTCTGGTTCTGTCTTCTTCTCACCCCTATTCTTCCTCTCTCCCACGTCTCCCCCTAGGTAGCTACATCACAACCATTGGGGTAGACTTCAAAATCCGGACACTGATGGTAAATGGAGAGCGGGTGAAACTGCAGATCTGGGACACCGCGGGACAGGAACGCTTCCGGACCATCACCTCCACGTGAGCCTGGGAGAGAAGGGAGACCTTGGGGTGTTCTGGAGGATGGGTGTTCACTACAGATTTTGATAGCTGAACAGAGGGCGATGGGGAGAAGTGAGGGAGCTGGAATTCCAGGATTCTCCAGGGTAGAATGAAGCAATAGTGGCTGGGAGCCAAGAGTCCTTGGTTTTCCAGAGTAAGGGCATTAATGCTGGCCTTTGGGTCTCATCCTGGGGTTTCTCATTCTCCTGGAGGCAGGTACTACCGTATGGTTTTCCAGAGTAAGGGCATTAATGCTCTCTCATTCTCCTGGAGGCAGGTACTACCGCAACACTCATGGTGTCATCATCGTGTACGACGTGACAAACCCGGAGTCCTTTGTCAACGTCAAGCGCTGGCTGCACGAGATTGGGCAGAACTGTGACAGTGTCTGCAAGATCTTGGGTGAGTGGCTCACGGGGGGGGGGGGGGAACCTGGCCCCCCTCTCAATTGGG